CTGGTATTTGCCTAATATTATAAATTGATAGTTTATTATTCTATTTTAACCTATGCTATTTGATTGTCATCTGTAAAATTAAACCTTGAATCAGTGGGTCTGTTGCATCTCTATTCTTTTTTAGGGTATTTAGCAGTATTTTATGGGAGGAGCATAGGCTTGAAGCCAGGCAAATTTGTGTTCAATCCCTTGTCAACTACTTACATTATAAAGTATAAATTTTTAAAACATTCTAAATCTTTTTCCTAGTGGATAAGGTGAGATTATTGCTGCTGACAGTGCAGGGGAGGGGGGAGGCGGGGGGGGGGGTGTCTTAGCCCAGCCAGGGAAAACTGAGCTGGGTCCCAGGAATGGTAAGTGTGCTGCCTGCCCTTCTGTAGCCTCCCAGAATCCTGGAGAAAATCAGATGTAGATGTAGCAGGGAGTGTGGTCAAGCAGGAACTTGTTTATTGTCCCTTAGCAGGCATCTTTTAAAGGAAAAAAACGCAGAGCAGGAAAACAGACAGCCAATGGTTTTAAAAGTCAGCCTATCATGCATCTAGTCGCCCTTATGCTTTACTTAGTGATCATGAGCTGTTCATTCAGTGACCTCATCTGGTTCTATCTAGGCAACCAATCATCTTTTTTTTTTTTTGTAAATAACTTAGGACTTCCCTTCAGCACCATCTTTGACTGGCTTGTGTGCCTTACAGACAGCATTTCTGGAGAAAAAATCAGTCACAATACCTTATAAAGTGTTCAAGATGCAGTTGAGCAGTATTCTCCATGCCTTGTCATAGATACTTCATTTGAGTAGAATCCAGATTTAAGAGCCATCCTTTCTAACCATTGAAACCTTTTTATTTTAGTTTATTCTTGAGTAGTTTGGTTCTATGGGTTAGGCATTGTGTACCATAAGGAGAACATTTGAATACTTTCAAGGTTACCCCCATTGTCCTCATTTTCAGTTTTACTTATCTGCTTATGGATACCTGAGTTTATCATTGTGCTTCATACATGTTATGACAGGTTCTGTTGATTTATTTCCTTATTTTATATAACCTGTGAGTATCATCTGGGTTCTTATGTTAGAACTGGTAGCAATAATGAAAAGGGAAACAACACAATCTAAGGAAAGATTAATTTGAATGTTGTTCTATTTGAGATGTTCTGTGATGTTGCATACACCTCTGTATTGGAACCTATTCTCCAGCCCCTAATTTTATACTGCTTTCCCTGTCTTAGTATATGGTATTGACATTCTTCCATTTCTCAAATACTAAACAAGAACTTATTCTTGATTGCCCCTCACCTTAATTTCAGTTCATCAAAAATTTTGCTGATCCCCAAATTTTTTTCCAATAAGAGGATCCTTTTCTTTAATTTTATTGTGGTATCCTTAATATCCTCATAATTTGTTTTTCAGCATGTATTCTCCCCTATCTTTTGGTAAACCAGTGTGTGTTGTGAAAGTTCTTTTTATTTGCCCTATTACCTAAACTGTGCATATTTTTCCTTAAAATTTTGAAGTGACATCAGGCACATTTGACTACTATCCATGTTGTCAGTACTCTCATAGGCTTTCCAGCACAAGACATTCACATTTGCTGCCCTTCTCTCCTCCAATTTACTGGCTTTGACTTGTGTTTGATGTTATTTAATCTTCTGCTCTTCAGTTCAAATATTTTTTTAGAGAAGCTATAGGGATTACCCCATTCTGCAATAGCCTCCTTCAAGTCTAACTGAAGATTTCTCATCTATTGCATACCAATTTCTTCATCTTATCTCTTTTATTTGCTTTTAATTTTATGTATTTCATATTAAAATTTCAATGTATTAAAATTAATGTCTCCAAAGCCTGAAGAGCGTATATTAATGCCAGCTACTTAAAATATTTATATATGATTGAATTATAATTTGTCAGATTTCCTTACTGTATACCAAACTTTATCAAATCATGCTTAACCTTTTAAAAAAATTAACCTTTTAAAAAATATGATGATTAGATTTCCTCTATATATTTTAAAAATAACTTATTTTATAGTTTTACTAACTGATTTGTTTTATCATATTCTTTATTTTCTTTTTTTTAATGCTTTGGTGTTTTGCCATCAGTGTTGGGTCCCCTGGAACTGGAACTTCAGACAGTTGTAAGCTGTCAAGTGTGTGCTAAGAACTGACTCTGGAAGAACACGTAGTGTTCTTAACTGCTGAGCCATCTATCCAGCCTTTTTGATAGTCTTTTAAGAGTTTGTTTTTATTATGTTTTTGAGAAAAGGTCTTGCTGTGTACCATTGAAAGCTGCATACACAGTAGACATTTATTCTAAGTACCCTTTGCCATTCACAGGAAAAAGAAGCTCCTCTGATCATAGCTAAAGAGAGTAACATTCTATGAGAATAAACATAAGTATTTAGGAACAGTTTGATAACATGTTCATTTATCAAAATAGTAAAATAGGATCATGTTTATGGCCCATGAATTCCCAGCCATGGGTCCTTGACCAGGTCTGGATTACCAGATACAAACGTCTTCTAGCAGAGTGTACCCCATATCCAATCATAATGCATTTGGCTACTTCCATAAGAATCATGCTACTATTGGACCTTTATGATTTTTTCTCCCAGCTCTCTGAATAGCATTATCTGGACTATAAAAGCTACCCAGCAGGAGGGACCTTCCTGCTTAGCTTCATTTGGGTCTTCTATAATTCCCACCTCCATTGTCTATAGTATCTTTATTCACTCAATTTACAATTGCTTCTTTAATCAATTTACAGTTGTCTTTGATATACAGAAGCTTTTCAATTTCATGAAGTCCCACTTGTCGACCATTGATCTTACTTCTTGAGTGACATGGGTCTTGGTCAGAAAATACTTATATGTTAACATGTGTTTTCTACTTTTCACTTTAGCAGCATCAGTTTCTGGTCTTAGATTAAAAACTTTAATTCATTTGGAATTTGTCGTGGTAGGATAAAAAACGATTGAGTTTCATTTTTCTTCAGATAGGTATTTTGATTTTCTAGTAGCACTTGTTTGAGATGATCTCTTTTCTCCATTGTATACTTTTGAAATCATTGTCAAAAGCCAGTTGGTTGTAGTTGCATGGGAGAACTTTACTAAAGTTGTATTTTTTATTACTGTTAACTGTGTTCTTCTCTTCAGTTTCCTTATCTCCCATTCTCTTCCCTTCTTCCTATTGTTCTCCCCTGTTCCTCCAACTTTCTTTTCTTTGCCTCTGTTACCAACATCACCACCCACCCCTTTATGACTTCTCCCTTCTCTCTCTCTCTCTCTTTCTCTCTCTCTCTCTGCCTACTGTTTTGTTTGTTTGTTTTTACTTTTGAGAAAGGAGGCTAGAATTTGCAATGTAGACTATGATGGCCTACTATTTCCAGTAGATCCTCCTGGAATTTGCCATGTAGACCAGGCTGTTTTTTCATGGTCCCGCTGCTCTCTACCTAGGACTCCAAAGCTCCACAGTGATTATTGGATCCTGTTCATATCTGTTGCAGAATTTTAAAGTATTTCTTCATTCATAGTTTTACTTGCTGGTTTTCTTTTATAGCTTTATTTCTTTCTCCATCTTTCAAATGACTTACTTCAGTCTTCATTTTCTCATCTTACACTACTGTTTTCTAGTTTTACAATTACCTCTTTTTTTTTTTTTTTTTTTTTTTTTTTTTTTTTTAATTGAAGGATTTTTCTTCTCCCATGTGTATCCCTCCATAGGATTTATGTGATCTCTTTATCAGTTCTTAAATCAAAAGTAAATTCTCATTGCTCTTAACAAAGTACGGTATATTTGACAACATCAACAATGACAATCCAAGGAGGGGAGGAGAACGGAAGTTGAGAACACTGAAGAGATGAACATGGTCCAACTAACTTTAGTTTATTAAAGTTCTCCCATTTGACTACAACCAACTGATTTTTGACAGAGATTTCAGAAGCACCCATTGGAGAAAAGAGAGCATGTCAAACAAATATTGTTCAACAACATCCAGATAAGAGTGTTAATTATGCATCCCAATTGATTTGGTATAGGAATATATAATTAGAAGAGCAATATATGACTCAGTACATCTGCAAAAAAGACACTGTAAGACCCAGGTTCGGTCGATGCCCCAAGAACTCAATGTCCAGTCCAGTTGCTGCAAAACACAAGAGGCTTTAATGAACAGGAAACCTTTGCGCAAACAGGCTAGAGAGAAGCCCCCCTCCCCCCCCAGGCCCAGGTGTTTTTAAAGGCAAACCCACAAGCTTAGGGAGGGGGTGGGACCCTCTGTCCATTGAGTATGTGACCCTTGGAGGCTGGATGGTCTGCTATTAGGGTCAACAGACCTTAGGGCCTCAAGGGGTGCTGATTAATTTTGTCTGGGCAAACCAGAGTTGCAGCTATCTCTTTGTTTCCTAAGGACCCTATTTACCACCTGTTGACTCACAGGAAAGGAGGGGCAGTGTGAATTCTTCTTATCTCAGGGCCTTGTGAGAGGAAGCTAGCAAATTCCAAGGAACAGATACTGGTTTCCAGGTTAGTCCATCATTAACATTACTTTATAGGTCTTTCAACACTATGACAGAAATACAATCTTATGGCACAGCTGGGTGTCTGAATTCTCTGTAGGTGTTTGTCGATGATGTCCATGTTCTTTGGTAAGAACTGAGAACTGGCAAGTGATGACAAGTAGTCACTGAAAGCTTGCTCATGGCCCTTTGGATTTCAGGAAGAGATGGTAGAAGATGAAGCAGACATGGATGCCATTAAGTTTCTATAATGTTTTATGATTTATGATATTTTGAGAAATAGTGTCATATAAATATTGAGCTTGTTTATATTTCAAATGTTTGGGTGATAGATATTTATAGTTTCATTTATTAAAATTTTCTAAAATTATTTGAATACTTCATGTATTCTTTCAAATCTAATTTTAGTAGTAATTTTCCTCAACTTTAAGTATATCCTCTCTCCTAATTTTCTCAAACATTGATCAGTAAATTTATTTTCTTTTCTTTAAGCTAAATTACTCAAGTTCGTGGGATACTATAGGAATCTTAAGCCAATAAGGTGGCAATGTCTCGGGAACCTACTCCACCTCTGCCTGGAGAAATGTCTCCTAGTCCTGTTGCAGAAAGCTGGTGCTACACACAGGTATATGTCATTTCAAATGCATTTGACTTTTCACATAAAATTTCTAGTCATGACAAGTATTATTATACAATTGTAAAGCTGTGGAACCATTACTGGAAGGATTAGAATGAATATTTAACTTGTGAGAAATGATTATTAAATCATGAATGTAAAAAGTGGCTTTCTGATCTCATAGGTTAAAGTAGTGAAATTTTCCTACATGTGGACTATTAATAACTTCAGTTTTTGTCGAGAAGAAATGGGTGAAGTGTTAAAGAGTTCAACATTTTCTTCTGGCCCAAATGATAAAATGAAATGGTAAGCATTATTGTTATTATTATTATATATTTTAACTGTAGTTTTTCTTACTTTGAATCTATTGTTGTTGTTGGTCCTATGGGTATTAGTATAATTTTACATTAAATTAGTAATTAATTCCCACTAAAATGGAAAAAAAACATGGAGTTATTACAGGAGTGCTGTTGTGATATTAATTTGCAGGTGATTTTAGTACTGCCTGTCTTTTTGGTAATGTCAATACTAAATTTCTCTAAGTGACCTATTGTTTTATTTTAGGTGCCTGAGGGTAAACCCAAAGGGATTAGATGATGAAAGTAAAGACTACTTGTCCTTATATTTGCTGTTAGTCAACTGCCCAAAAAGTGAGGTTCGAGCAAAATTCAAATTTTCCCTTCTGAATGCTAAAAGGGAAGAAACAAAAGCAATGGGTAAGTGATTGGCAAACTGTATGAAGAAGTCTGTCTACATACAGTGACTTTACCTAGAAAAGCTTTGGATTATTTTCCTCCCTCAAATTTTCTTAGTCCAAAATTTTTGTCTGTAGCCATTATTTAATTTTGCATCTCACATTCTAGTTTAAGTTTTTCATAAGTTTTTGCTTCCATAGACATAATAGAAGTACTTAAAATAATATTAAATTTTAACTGCTTCATGTCCTAAAATAACATTTTATTTGTCATTTGGAAAAAGAATTGCTTCTGAAATAGGGTTGCTGATATATGTCATTAGAAAATTTCTCCTCCCTTGCCTTCTTGCTGGACAACAATGCTAAGGAGAATGGAATGGCCTCATATTTTGTTGCTAGGATTTCTTTCTTTCTTTCTTTCTTTCTTTCTTTCTTTCTTTCTTTCTTTCTTTCTTTTTTAACCAGTTAGCTAACATGACATGAAAGAAAATCAACTTTTATATTCAGAGCCTATTATCCCTAGTGGAAATGCTTTACTTTAGAGGATCACAATAGGAGAATGGTAGAGAATGTTTACAGTGTGTTTAATAGAGTAATAGCCTATAAACTGCCACACTGAATTATAATAAATACTTTCTAGAAGTGACTCTTAGAGAACAAAGTAACATCATTACACACACACTTTTTAAAATTTGTATTTCCATATTATGTGACATTTAAAATAGTCTACTTTAGTTAAAGTTATATCCTGATTATATAGATAGTAAAATATAATGAATGCTTTCTGCTGAGAATTTTGTGTATTTCACAGTATACAATTGAGCACCAAGATGTTTGAAACATCTTAGGTATTTGTCAAAATCTTTTACAAATTTTACTAAAAGCATCTTGTTCTTTTGTATATGAAAGTGTGTTCCAGGAGATTATATCTAAAATCTTGGGAATGGTAAGCAGTCTTTTAGCATTCTCAACAATTTGAAGTTTTCTTTAATTCAGCAAATGTAAATCAATAGGATGAGTTCACCAACAGAGCTTAAAAGATTTCTTAATGAACTGGAACACCTAGTTTTAAGGGGAGAAACAGGAAATAAGGTATTGTCTAATAAAGTTTTGACATTAGATGATGACTATTTATGCCTATGTAAATATGCTTTGAATTTATTTCATTTAGGGGAAGCTGTGTGTATGTGTGTGTATGAGAGAGAGAGAGAGAGAGAGAGAGAGAGAGAGAGAGAGAGAGAGAGAGAGAGAGAGAGAGAGAATATATTATAGTGTGTGTATATGTCCTTTCCTTCTAGTGGTCTTGATGGCTTTGCTTAAGAGAGTTAGAAGTCTTAATTTAAGTTCATTGACTTTTGGGCAACAATAAGTGGGTTGGTTTGATTCCTCTTGACACATTTATTCTGATACCTAATTTCACACATGACTAATGCATTATAGTGAATATTCTATTCATGTCCTCATTTTTCATCTATTGTCCTCATTCATCTATATTTCTTTACCACTAAGAAAAAAAAGTATCTCTGATACTTGTTTTATTTGAACTTCTGTTTTCCACCAGAAAGCCAAAGAGCTTATCGATTTGTACAGGGAAAGGACTGGGGATTTAAAAAATTCATTAGAAGGGATTTTTTGCTTGATGAAGCCAATGGTCTCTTACCAGATGACAAGCTTACATTATTCTGTGAGGTGGGTATGATTTTGCTAATAAAGAATTCCATAGTTTATTTGATGATGTGGCTAAAGTATGAACTAGATTAATACTGAGTATACTTTTCAAATTAAAGTTATTAGCTGGGCATTGGTGGCTCATGCCTTTAATCCCAGTACTTGGGAGACAGAGGTAGGCAGATCTCTGTGAGTTCGAAGCCAGACTATTGTATAGAGCGAGTTTTAGGACAGACTCCAAAGCAATACAGAGAAACCCTGACTTGAAAAACAAACAAACAAAAAAAAACAAAAATTAAAGTGACTGGTATATTTCATGGGTTCTTTTGTAAATTCAGCAGAAAAAAAGCTGGCTAAAAATATCTAACAAATCAATGTAGTGTTCTATATTTTTATCAAATCTCTAGTTTTTTGCATAGTTATCCCTATTATCTACTAAATCATTCTTATTGAAGAAGCTGGATGCATACATATATATCTGTGTTGTGTTTATTTACTATCTTCGCCATTCTAAGTAACTCTGATATAGCTAACCAGTTTTTTAGGTTAATCTGATTCAAATTAATTGCTCACAGGTTATTAGTTTGAATGAAAAAGCATGTGAAAAAATATTGGGAAACCTCTTAGTCCTTCAAGCTATTGAATTAAATAGTCAATAAGTGTTAATATTCTAAGAAACAAATCTGAGGTTTTAATGATATGCCCATATATTTTGGCAAATATGCATGCTTAATTTTTACCCATAAAACATGTTTTGAAAATTATGAGTAATTCTTCTACCAGGAATTTACTCATATGATTAGGGTTAACTTCATGTTTGGATTTTCTTCTGTCATTTTTATCATTGGGTAAGTTTATTTATATAAAATCATGAGATTGATTTTTGGAGAAAACCCAAGAGTTTTATTTTCAAAATTACCAACTGTATGTCATTGTATTGTATCAGACTGAAGTATGTTTTGGAATTAAAATAGGACCACCAAAAAGTACTTGCAAATGAACTGTATCATTCATTTGTTGTTAATACAGTTACTTGGTTAGTTTCTCATAACTACAAGGGAAAATAAATGAAGCATTTGTCTGCAATAAGCAAATAATTCATTAATATTTTAAGTAGACAGGAAGTTATACTGTTTAAGTTTTTGCCTTTAATGTATACTCTTCCAGGAGTTCAGAATTTACCTTAATTTGAAGTGTTGGTTTTTTTAACTGTCATCTTAGAATTTAATGGTCCTTAAAGATTAAGTAATGTATTATTAAAAACAAAAAACAAAAAACCCAAACAACACAAACCTGACAGTCTTGAGTTGTGAATGAGCCTTTCTAAGAAAATAATCTGCATTATAGAACTGAAATAGTGTTTGTTAATAGATATTTTTCCTGGCTGTATGTACTGGAACCTAGACAATCAATAAATTCAGAATTAAGGCTGAAATTAATTTTAAGATTATTCAAGTATGCACTTTTGAAGTTTGTTTGGTATCCATATGTTAAATAACACATCTGGTGACCCATAGAATGTATTATGACACATGTTTTTAAATTGGTAATGATCAGAACCAATTTTTAGAACTTGAAATGTGCCTTTCACTAGCCCAGACATTATCTCTTGAACACTATCTTTAGCATACATAGGTGGGCAAAAATCATCTTTAAACAGCATTCTTTGTGCCCTCCATCATTCTTCCACTCCTCTCATGGATGCCCTTCCTTCTACAGCATCTCCAACACTGCTTGCAGAAGAGGAGGAAGCATTGCACTGCCCTCCCTAAGGAACTGGCACCTCCCCCTCCACTGCAAGTGGTGCTGTAGACAGGTAAGGCAGCTGGGTGCTACCCTTTTTATGCAAGACATAGCTAAGTCTTGCAGTCTATATAGTGGCTCAAGTGGCAAGAGTTAGATGAGAATTTCTAACACTGTAAAGAGTTCTGCTTCCTTTCTCCAAAGTGATGCAACAAACAAGAATTGAGCATAAGTTAGAAAAAGGGAACACTGTTCAGAGTCATCTTTTGAAACCTTAAAAATTTTAGATATTCTTGATAGTCTACAGCTCTGTGACATTCCTTGATAAACAGAAAACTGTATCTGTATAGCTAAAATATATGAGAAGCTTTTCATAAAACCAAATTCATTCTTTCTTAAGGACATACAAAAAAACAAAAACAAAAAAACCCCAAAAACCAAAACAAAAAACAACAAATATTTTCCTTTTGATGAGGTATTAGATTGACGTGACTGTTTAAAACACTTATAGTAATAAATGAAAGATGGATTTTATTTTTTAAGCTCTTAGATATTAGAAATGAAAACTTGACTACCCTGTTGCGGTCACCAAAACTATTAAGATGGTATATTGAAAACCCCAAATGCTTATTACCCACCTTTTCTACGAGATACATAAAGCTGGACTTTCCAAGATTTCTGCCTTTGGAGTGAGTAGAGAGGTTAAGCAAGTAGTTGATTAGAGAGACAGCCTTTAATCCTTTGTTTTTTTTGTTTTTTTTGTTTTTTTTACCAAGTCCATTAAAATGAAAACAAACATTTATAGATAATATTTGGGAATTTTGGCGTCGTTCTTTCCAAACAACTTCCTGCTGGTAAGGGGCGCTTCCATGGGGGATCCTTTGTGGTTTTAGGATGTTGGAGGGTTCAGGTTTTGAAGAGTTAGAACAACCATCTTCATTCCCAAAAAGACAAGAGCCAGATTTGTTAGCTAAATACATGTTCAGTTACATCCCTCAAAAGTTCATCTTCATTTAAGTTACATCCACAGGGTTAATCAAGTGCAAGTTTAATAAGAGAAGTCTCCTGTGTATCAGCAGGAAATCTCAGCCTTCTTCCTGAATTTTTCTCTCTAGGTTCCATAAATAAAGTTGTCATTACCTGTTTTCAATATTTTTAAAATTTCAAATTATATATATCAAAACAATGAACCTATCACTTCTCAAGTTTAAATGATTAATTTCCATCTGAATTGAAATTTGTGGTTGCTTTGATAACACTAGATGTGTGTAAGAGGAATACAAGTCCTTTAAATTATGATTGTTTATACAGAATGCAGCTGTGCTTCACAACAGTGATGATAATGTTTATTTTCTTTCTCTGTCATTTATGTATCTATTTATTCATTCATTTATTGTGTGTTTTCTTCCAAGTTTTTACATTTAATATATTATCTTGGGACCCAAGGAAATGTTTCAGTGGGTAAAATCACTTGCCACATACATGCCTGAAGACCAGAACCCACATAAAAAGCCAAATGTGCCAAAACAAGTACCTGTAATCCAGCACTGCTATAGCAATTGAGCCTTTGAGAGTCTGAGACAGGAGAACCTGGCAGAAAACCTCAGAAACAAGGCAAAAGGAGAAAACTGACACCTCAAAGTTTTCCTCTGACCTCTACATTGGTAGTATGATGCTTGGGAACTTTCGGCACACATCCACACATGCACACAACATGAATATATTATCTTCAATTAGATACAGACAACACATAGGATTTAAGATACCATACTTTTTTTTTTTTATAACTACTAGGTAATTTATGCAGGTTAATAAACAGATCCAAAAATGTCAAGAATAATGCTTAACATAAGCAAATAAATACATCATACACTAAATATGATTCTTAAATAAACTGAGTATTTATATCAGCACATTCCATTTGTGTATCATTGACTTCTGATATATAGTAAAATAGGACAATCAAGTAAAGATAGGGAAGTATTTTCTTCTTTATGAAGTTACTAAAATTTTAAGAAATTTGAATGATGGAAGTCTTTAGGTAGAACCTTTATTGATAGCTTTGTATACATAATATCTTGTCCCCCATATTTATAATACCATCTCATAAGATTATTATAGTAAATACTTGTGATCATAATTGTTATAAAGAAATGTAAACACCAGGGCTAATCCTCTCTGCTTTCCCAGTGTTACGATTATACTTGGTGTGTAATGTTTTTTTCTTCTACATGGGTGCTGGGATAAAATTCTGGTCCTCATGTTTGTAAGCAGGCAGTTTACCAACTAAGCCATTTCTCAAGCCCAATGTGTATCCTTTAATTATACTTTCAAGAAGTGAATTCATTAATCTATTGTTTTATAAAAAATGTTCCCAATATTTAGCACTTAAAAACATAGCTAATATAACATGTGTAACTTAATTTTTAAAGATTGTTCATTTGCACTGAATTATTTGTTAGTTGATATACTTCTTTTTTGTTCTTGTTTAGTGTAATATGAAATTTCCAACATAATATAATGGAGTGCTTTTAAAGATGATGTGAAAGTTGCAAGATTTGATTCAGTAAACAATGATCTTTAATGGAGTCTACATGAAAGCAGTGTCACAGTTATCCTAGCTCTTACTTCCTATTTCCCAGATAAATGAAGTGTCTGCTAATTGAAACAAAGTACATTTTTATTGAACTCACTTTTGACTTTTCATAAAATATTGTGAACTTTGATAATTGTAGTCACTTTTGTGGGAATTCTTTTACTTAAAATTTTAAATAAATTTTAGGAGGTATTTAAATCAATTCTACTAATATTGAAACTTCTAGGGATAATAATTAAGCTCCAAATTTTCTTTTTTATATTTGTGTGGGTGTTTCGCATCTATGTTTCTGGACCACCAGAGTATCTGGTGCCTAGGCAGACCAGGAAACAGTGTTGGATCCCATGGAGTTACAAGTTGTTGAGAACTCCCATGCCCGTGCTGGAAATCAAACCTAGGTCATTTAGAAAAGTAGGCAGTGCTCTTAACTTAAGTCATTTCTCCAGCCACATGTTTCTAATTTTAAAAGATAATAGTTTTATGTCTCTGAAAACTATACAAGTTGTATATGTAATAAAAGTGAAATGTTTATAGGTATGAAGTATAAGTGAAAAACATCAACAAAAATTTCTCTGCAAAAGTATCAGCTTGTCATGCTTAATGGTATTGTGGATTTTCTATTATTAAAAAAAATTTGTGATTGTGATAATTGAGCTTTTTATTCTATTGATTAGTCATTTGTTTACACTGTCACTATTGAACAAGTCTTAGGTTATTTCTAAGTTTCTATCCTATTTCTCTCACATTAACTTGTTTAGGAGGGTACTAGGATTTTTTGATTAGCAATATGTTGAATTAACCAGGGTATTTTAAGTTAATGAAATTGAATGTACACATAGTAACTGATCATTTAGAATACTGTATGAAAATGTTTTCCTTGTTGTCTTCTTTGTTAGGTGAGTGTGGTTCAAGATTCAGTAAATGTATCCGGACACACTAATACAAACACTTTGAAGGTGCCAGAGTGTCGACTAGCAGAAGACTTAGGGAATCTCTGGGAAAACACAAGATTTACAGATTGCTGCTTTTTTGTCAGAGGAAAAGAATTCAAAGCTCATAAGTCTGTGCTTGCAGGTATCTTCTCCTTTGGGTAATATAATATTTTTTAAATAAATTTGTACATTAAGTAATGGTGCTCCTTCTTTTTATAGCTCGGTCCCCAGTTTTTAATGCAATGTTTGAGCACGAAATGGAAGAATGCAAAAAGGTAAATTTCATTAAAAGGCTTAATATTATTTAATTTGTATACATGTATAATCATAGAATGCACATATTAAAAATATCTGTTCACATTCTTGTTCTCAAGTTATAACAGAGAAAAACTTTAGAAACCACATAACTGGGGGAAATGTGTTCTGAAATAAAACAGTAGGAGTCTTTCAGTATGAATGCTCCCAGAACATTCTAAATAACAGTTATTTTAATGTTCCAATTGCTGCAGTGTTTGCCTCCATGCAGAAAGTCTCCTTAGGGTTTCATCCCTAAGGAGAGAGAGAGGGTGGCAAAGGAATCCCACTGGGAATATTGTTGTGTAATTTCTGGCTTTTGTGGCATACATTACCCAACCATTTGGTGGTGTGACACCTCTAAATATAAAAATGCACACACACACACCCACACACACACACACATACGTACGTGTATATGCACATATATTTTAAAAGAATTTTTAAGTAACTACAAGATGTATTTCTGTGGCTTGTTCAAACATCCATAAAGCTACTTATGCCCCCCTTTTCCTTTTGCCCTTCCTACCTCTTTCCAGTTTAAAACTCCCTGCATTTTTCCTGTGTCCTCCTTCCTAGCATGTGTATCCTACTAGTTTTTCCTTTAGAGCCCCAGACATCCATGGTTGCTTTTTGCATCTCAGTTTTATGGGGATAATCCAGCTATGTACTCACATTTTAAGATTTGTAGGTAGGAACTACAGATAAGAGACAACTTACACCAACCCAATCTTTCAGGGTCTGGGTGTTCACTGGGTTGTTTCTTTTGCTGTGTAGAAGCTTTTTAGTTTTATGAGTTGCCATTTCTCTTGCTGTTAATTCCTGAGCAGATAGAGGCCTATTCAGGAAGGCATTTCCTACTCCTATGTCTTATATCTTTTTTTTTCCTTCTAGTATTTGATTTTTCTTTTGTGATACCCACATTTTCTTGCTTTAGATCCAGTTTTGCATAGGTGCTAGTTCAGTCATCATATGCTCAGTATTGCATTGGTTTGGAGGAATGGGGATTACAGTTCAATGATAAGGAAACATGCAGTTAGAACAAATCACTCATTCTGATTGGAATAAATGGAAACTGCTGCCACACCTCTGCCTGGGATTGTGTTGGCATAAGTGGACCAGGTTTTTTAGTAATCACCAGACTTAGTCAGCATACAGGTTATAGGCCTGAATTTAGGAAATGACATGGACAGACTTGGTTTCCATGACTCAACATGAACTGCTGGCACACATACGTGTTTTAGGCTAGTCCTGGAGGTTGGATGCTGTGCAAGTTGTCCAGAGCCCAAGGCTCTTACCAGACTGGACAAGTTTACATGATGCATAACCTAGAGTAAGCCTAGAGGTTGGAAATGTGGGACTTGGCATATTATGCTGACATTTGTTTTCCTGGTTGGTCCTGGGAGTTGGGAAGGCCATAAGCTAGGGATAATGAGATAGTGAAGTAGAACAGGCTGTACATGGAATAGAAAATGGTTCAGGGCTGGGAAGATGCTTAAGTGCTGAGTGAGCAATAAGAACTCAAATACTTGAACTCAGGTAACAAGTAACAATCTAATGTCCAAGAGGATGAGCAGTCATGTTACCCTGGCACCCTAAGGAAAGGGCACTGAGAGAGGGGACAAATTGAAAAATAAAACAAAACTGAAAAAAAAATGCAAAGCTTGAACAGTGAGGTAGCAGAATGTCCTACTACATTCATCTTGGGTATCATAAAAATAAGGAATAGCTGCAGGGTGGTAGGATCGGAGGTAGACAGAGCCTAGCTCTAGAACCACAGCTCAGGTCATTTCCTGACTTCTTAGACCAGTGGGGGCAAATGTCAGCATACTTCACCTCAGAGGGAAACCTGGGGTTGAGACTGATGTCTCAGCTTAATTCCTGACCTGAAATGTTGACTGAGCCAGGGTAGGGTGTGATATCTTAGGTTCTCTGACTTCCTGTCATATTCTGGGGTAGAGTCTGAAGTGTTAGTATACTCAATGACCTCAGAGGGTGGCTAGGAGTAGAGTCTAAAGCCCATGCCTTATGTGGAGAGCAGTGACCAATGGCCTGTGAGGTACTCAGCAATTAGGATATCTACATAAGATTTGTCTTTCAAGTATGCCTCATTGATTCATATAAACATTCTTTATAATAGCATATTAATTTACAAATGAAACAGACATATCTTCAACTGGGGAACAGTTGACTGGGAAGAAAATGCTGTTGTGGGATTCCACACTGGAGAATCTTCTCCAGTAAAGATGCTTCAGAAGCTTGGAGGCTCAATCCTTATCCATAGTGAAAAGGCTGGGAGGATGACACTGGTGAAGGTCCCAGGAGGTCCTTAAGCGCATAGGCAAGTGCTATATAACTGACTTGTGGGCATATTTGAGTCCAGCAACAGCCCTAATGTTGGACAGCACTGAAGTTCCATGTTCACTGAAGCCAGGGCCATACAGTCTCATGTCTTATTGCAAATGAGTATCAACATAGGCTAGAGAAACCTTTCTTTAGAGCATAGTAGTGGGACCCCAGGGACCATTCCCAATAATCTTATTTTGGAATCATTTCATTGGATGGTAGCTTTGCTCATTTGGGGCTCACGGCTGGCTGCTAGTTCACCAACATATCACTGCCACCTTGGGATTAGTTCATTAGCATATGAAGGCTTGTCCTGTGCTATATACTATTCTAAACTGTCTGGGGCTTCCTTCTGAGGCCAAGCTATATCCGAGCTGCCTATGAGCAAGTTTAGGCACCATATTATAACAAGTCACACTAAATTGTTTTTAAGTTACACAAAATGATTTCACTTATATCCCTAACAGCTTGACTTCACAGAAATGACCCTAGATGATTTCTGAGATACTGACACTTTCTTCCTTATCTTAGATGAGAATTGGATATAAGGATACAAAGTATAAAAGCAACTGGTCTCAAATAAGCATAGAAGGACCAGTAAATAATATTATATGGCATTTTGCAAAAGCAAGTGTTTTCAGCTAGTGAGTTCTCACCAAAATTACTTATAGACTCTTCTTTCAATTGATAACTGTGAATAGAGTTTGTGGTTATAGGGTTTAGATATTATAATAGATTGTAAAATTCAACCAGGGAAAAGTCAGTAACTGTTCTCTGAAACTGTGATCAAAAACTGGCCACAGATGAATTTTATTTGGGCTACAGTATTTTGTCTCTTTTAATTATGAAAATTGACAAGCTTACCACATGGTAATACTTAACATGCCTCACTATCCACGAATTTCCTTTCTAGCTGATCAATAGAGTGTGGACATGTTGATATGTTTTTACTACTGGCAAATAATTCATGTGGATTCACATGTGTACCTGTTCCTACTTTTGTGTGTGTGTTATTTTCAGTAATGGAACTGAGTAAAAATAAATAAACCCTGTAGATTCACATATATATACCTATTCCTAATTTTTTGTGTGTTGTTTTCAATAATAGAATCGAGTGGAAATAAATGATTTAGATCCCGAGGTTTTTAAAGAAATGATGAGATTCGTTTACACAGGAAAAGCACCAAATCTTGATAAAATGGCTGACAACTTGTTAGCAGCTGCAGACAAAGTAAGTAATAGGGTTTTAAAGGACCAAAACAAACAAAAACAAAAAGTAACTCCTCAAATTTGACATTTATAGAAACTATCATACATAAAAACTACAAATAACTTTTGACATAACTTAATTTGTGCTATTTGTAGAGAGTTTGAAGGGTTTTATGAAATATTCACAAAGTAGATACTATAAACAACATCATAGGAAAGTATGAGGGGGGGCCTAGATTTTCTCATGGAAGATAAAATCACAAGCTTAATAATTTCTAGGGTAAATACAACATCAAGCTGCATATAAACCTATTGTAACTGTGGATGTTCTTATTCATAAGATACACTACATGGTCTTTGGTTTTTTAAAACTATATAATATATATTATTCTCTTAATAGATTTCTTTTAATGATAGTATAGAAAGGAAAATTGTTGATAATTTTGTTATGATCTGTTTAATTATATTTTTTCTTTTTGAACACAGAGAAACTGCAGAAATGTCAGAAAAGTTTTGAATCCCATGCTTCTCAGTCCCAAAGACATGCTCGTGGTACATATATTAGGAATTTTGTATTTAGACTATGTAAAGGACATTTAATCTTCAACGAAAAAGAAATGTTGCTAAGAGTAGAAGGTGTTTAAATAGGTAATTCCCAAGTAAAACCAATGAAGTTCATTAAGTAAAGATGCCCAGTATCCTTAAAGAAGTGGAGATTAATCCCATCATGATGATCCACTGCACATCAGTCATAATGGCTAAAATTACAAAGACTATATAAAATTTGTCAATGATGTAAAAATTGGGATTCTCAGTCATTGCTGATGGGAGTATGGAATGTACAACCACTTTGGAAAATTAACTGTTTCTTTTGAAGTTAAATATAAACTTGCATATATGTGAGGTTCCTTTGAGGCTTGTATCCCCTGTACTGCCTCCCCAAAACCCAACATATGTGTATGTTAATTTGAAATTTATATGCTAAGAGCTTGCAACAGATACAAATATTCATCAATTGGTGAATTTATGTGTATATATATATGTACAAAAATGGTGATTATTAACATTTACTTAGCTTTCAATGGTCATTCTTTAAGACTGAATATTGGCAAAGTAAATATAGTGTGGTAAATGTCAAGTGTGAAGTACAAGAAAATAAAATGAAATGTTATGATAGGTAGCTGGTGTGTACACGTGTGTAAGTGTGTGCACACACATATGCATACACAAATATGTATAGAGTAGGAGGGAGATGGGAAGATAGATACTCATATTTAATGACCTATTGCTAGCATTAAGAGGGGCTGAACTATAAGCAATGATGTGCATAAACTGAAAATAGTCACACTTAGTAACAGTGTTAGATGATTAGTACATACTATGTGATTACATTTGTAAAAATAACTTCAGAAAATGGAAGCTAGTTTCTCGTAGTACATGACAAAAATTGCTTGGAGTGGTATGGAGAAGAAAGAATTTAAAGGATATATTTATTCTTTTGGGTGGATGATGGTTTGTTTACTGTGGGTATTAAATCACCAAGTAAAACCTTTCAATGGATGCTGTTTACTTTTATGTCATTAAACCTCAATACAGCTACTGATACTGTAGCTTCACATTAATAAATGCAAAAATTATTGATTATTAAGTTTACTTAACTTTCAGTTAAATCACTCAAAATTGAATAGTGACAAAATAAATACAGTGTGATACATCCTAAGTATGAAGTAGTAGAAAAGAAAATGAATTGTTACAGTAGGTAACTGGTGGCACATGTGAGTAGGAGGGAGGAGAATGTTCTGGTCAACTACTACTTCTGTAGTTTTGTACATTCACACTGAGTAGGCAGGGAGCTAGCTAAGCTGTAACTTGGTAACTATTGTCTCCTCATAGTCAGGATGCCCTTCTGTACTTGGACATTCTTGAAGCTGACCTTGTGTTCTTTCCATCAAATGAGAAATTGTGATTTTAGAGCACTTTTCACAATGGTACATATACTCACCAGTGACAATTTAATAAGCAGAGTATTTAAAACAAGGGCATCTTGACTCCAGACCATGCATAGTACAGTGAGATGAAATAAATTTTGTTATTTAGAAGGAGAAAGTTTTAAATGATGTCATAGAAGATAGGGACTGTAAAAACATTAAAAATCCATAGTACAAAATCCTACAGACTGTTGGCTATGCCATTCAGGTCTCTCTTTCAAATGTGCTCATTACTTAGCTTTCTTTTACTAAATAAAATACAGCTTATATTTTTTCTTAGTTGAATTCTTTTCTTTGAGAATACAGGAACTGAGAAAAATATTTGCTTGACAATGTATTCTTTAGAATAACTGTGTAATAAGATAGCTGTCTTCTATAAATCCTACTTTAAAATCCACAATATTCTTACACTTAATGATTTCTTAAGTGATTAAGTAGTTCTCCTAAATGCGTTCATTTACATTTTCTTCATAAGGTAAAGCAACAGCTTATTGATTTAAAATAACATTAGTTCAAAACAAAATTTCTTGAGCTTCATCTGCTAAGTTACAAATATCAGCTACATACACCCTAATTAACTGGAATAAATGTTTAATGATTATGTTTTTCTTTTGGGTAGTATGCACTGGAACGGCTGAAGGTCATGTGTGAAGAAGCTTTGTGTAGTAGCCTCTCAGTAGAAAATGTTGCTGATACCCTTGTCCTTGCAGATTTGCACAGTGCAGAACAGTTGAAAGCCCAGGCAATAGACTTTATTAATAGGTAAGCTATGCTTGCATTTCCTTGGATATGACACCATTAACAGTTTTTTCACTGAGCTTTTTTTAAACCCTTTTTAAATCTTCAATGCAGGTGCAGTGTGCTTCGACAACTTGGGTGTAAGGATGGGAAAAACTGGAATAACAAGTAAGATGGCATCAGTTTCAGTCTGTATTCATTCAATGAAATGTGTGTATAGCCTTTTGCTCATGAACAAGGAGTGTGGCTCCTCATGAAGCTAACTGCCAGTCATTTAAAAGTAATATTTTGACTAATTGTAGTGGATTCCTTGTAGTTTTGGCCTTTCATGCAAACTGGATTTCTTCCATGCACTCATGTCTCATAGTCTATAGCTGAGTACAGGCATTATACGGTTGCTAGAAATCTGGCATCTGTCCCCTCAGAAAACATTAAGAAAGGCTACATCCTCAAGTTATGCCTTGGAAGTCTCTAATTTTGTTGTTGTTCTTGTTGATTTTGGTAATGCTTATTGAGTGAACTCTGGATTTCACCTGCTGCACAAGGAGGGACTCTACCAAAGCTACTTGAATATTAACACTTTTTAGAATTTAATTTTGAGGCAAGAGTTTAGTAAGTTTTCTAGGATAGCTTCATATTTGATTCTTCCTGCCCCTAGTTTGTCAAATAGTGAGGATTACAGACTAGGACTTTGCATGTCCATGAAACTCACTTATTTTTGTTTGTTTGTTTAGATTATTGGTTTGCTTGTTTTTGAGTATAGGTCTTGCTGTGTATTCTAGACTGTCATCAAACTCAGAGACTTCCTGCTCTACCACAAAAGCTAACTCACTACGATTTAGATCAGCCAAATACCTCACATTATATATTAAGCTGCCTGATGTTGTAGAACATGTTATTTGCTAAGAGATTATATGATTGCTAAATCCTGCTGATTCTTTATATACAAAGCATTGGAAGTAATTTTCTACATTTTTGCTTCTCTTATTTTAGAATGTTGTTTCTAATTGTTTGAAATAACAACAGGAAGAAATGATAAAGTTTTTTTGTAAGGTTTTGATGAGTTTTATCTATAAACCCCTAAAATTCACTACTTTTGAAAATTATCAAAACTTGACATACTGAGTTAAAATCCACTACGAGATATCTATAACAAAACACATTATTGTGTGTGCGGGGGGGGGGGTGTTTATAAAAGAAAATTTAAAAGGGGGCAGTAGTAATGACAATTATTCAATTTTTTCTATTGCATTTATCTGTTGGTTTCATAATAGTTTGTAAATTTTGTTCTAAAACGAAAGCATTTTACTGCTTTTAAATCTGTGGGAGTTCTGTTTACTGACCCGGTATCAGGTGTGAATTTAACATTGTGCATTAGCAGCAGTAACTCTTTGATCCTTATTACATAGCTTTAGTTTTAGTTTTTTAAGATTTATTTAATCTGTTAAGAAAATACATCATAGAACACTTCTTCTATTAAAATATGATGTAATTATACACTTTGGTGTTATATGGGCAGACATTCAGTAAATACCTATTGAATTAGTAAAAGAAAAGGTTAACGTAAATTAATAAGTAGCAGTGTGATTCTAAATAACTAGTTAAATTTTAAACAATGGTGGCATACTAGTGATGCTGGGCAAAGAATATTATTTTCTTGATATCATCTACTATTTAGTTCACTATGCTTAACTTTCATTTTATTTGAAGAACTTCTAAAGTACTACATGTAAAATGACACTTGATGAATTGTCTTTGTTTTTAAGAAATTGATATAATGGAGATAGATATACACATTACCCTTCTATTTTTAACATAGTGATGATAGAAAAGGATATGTACAGGTACTTGACTAAGCCCTAGAATTTAGGAATGGCTTCACAGATAAGGCTGAACTTCATTTCAAAAAACGAATAAGAGGGAGCAGAAGGAATGAAAAGGAAATAGCAGACATAATGGACTGAAAGGGATTGCATGAAGCAATACATAGCTGTGCATAGAGGTCTATAATTATTTGTTTACTGAGTTTACAGAACACTATTACTCAGTACTGAGAATATAGTGCAAGCATGGCAGATGTTTCCCCTCCATACAAGTAGTTTATGGTGTATAGAGATTGATTAAACAAGTAATTACAATGAGTTAGGGAATCTAGTTTCATTTATATTACAGAAAAGCAGAATAAAGGATGTGTGAATTAGGTAGGTGATAAATAAAAGCTAGAGAAAACAAGCAAAGATCAGATACCAAAAACCATGCAGCATTAGGACTTTTGATAATGAAATAGAGAACAATGACTCAACAGTAATGGTTATTGCCTCCGATTGAACATGATAAGACTTCCATTCTTAGCAGGTTCATGAATGGGAACCGCAAAGTTGGACTAATATCGGTATTTGAAAAAACAAGGTTAAATTCACATAAATAGAAGGTACAGAGGAGAGAAGAAAAGGATAAAGAACTAATGCGTTGCTTTTCCAGTTACTCTTGATTGCACATTGAAAGCATGTTATACATATAGGACATAGTAAATAAAATAGTAGCAGAGTAATTGGAGCATAGAAGTGGGAATGGAAAGCAGTAAAGAGGCTGGAACCACATTTCTCGTTTTTAAAACTTAAATGTAGGAAAAAAGGAAGAGTGCAATACAATATGATATAGTCATGTTCCTGTCACTACACCAGCATTATAGAAGCTGCAGTAAGAGAAACAGCATATGAGAATAAAGACAAGTTAGAAGAATTTGATAATGATCAAATTTTAAGATTATAAGTGATAATGGGGTTTTGATGACTTTGGTAATAAAACTGGGACTTTGATGCCTAATTAGAGGACTGGTTCTAGGATGACTCCCAGATATTTAAATTAAATCACTAGCAAAGGTGAAAGCTTCAGGAAAATGAAGCACAAACAATTTGAGATTTAGGAGAAAGATGGTGAGTTCTTGTGTCATAGTGCTGAGTTTGTGAGACTTGAGGCTCATTCAAATGATAAGAGCAAGTGACTGATGGTGAGTCTTGTGGAGAAGCAATAGGATTTAACTTATCAGTAGCTAACTACTGGGTGTAAGTATTAGAAATGTGACAGATAAGATAAAAATGGAAAGTCTAGTAAAAGAAGAGTGTAAATGAAAAATTGAACCTGTGGAGAAAACTTGTAAGAGGTAAGAAGGGAAAATAAATCATTGAGTACTCAAAATAACGAGAGGAGAGCTATGAGAACAGCTGCACATGGGCTAGGGTTTAGACTTACAGATCAATTTTTATTTTTTTTTTTTTTTTGCAATTTTGACAAAAATGCTAATGTGATAAGGATAATGTTTTTAAAAAGTTCAAATGAAAGTGTAGAAAGAGGTAGAGCATTACGAGCGGTTTTCCCACCAGCTTGGTCCCAGAGCTGTGTCAGCCCCAAATAACACACAGAGATGCTGTATTAGATATAATGCTGTTGGCCTGTTACTAGCGTTTTTTATTGGCTAGCTCTGTCTTAAATAGTAACCCACTTCTATTAATCTGAGTATTTCCACATGGTCTTATCTTACCAGAGAGAAGGTCTGGAGTTCTCTCTTGGTTTTGAAACTCCTACTACATATTCCTGAATCCCCCTTGTCTCCTAGTCCCTCCTGTCTTGCTTTCCTATTGGCACAGTGCTTTATTCATTAATCAATAAGAGAACCATATTTACAGAATGACATCTCCCATCAGTAGAATATTATCTAAAATTTCAAAATCCACAAATTAAAAAAAAACAAACAAACTGATAACTCAACAATGCATTTGAGGAGTGTTCTTTTAATAAACATCATTTAATTTCTTCTTTTGCAGCCAAGCAACCGACATCATGGAAACATCAGGGTGGAAGTCCATGATTCAGTCTCACCCTCATTTAGTGGCAGAAGCCTTCCGAGCACTAGCATCTGCACAGTGTCCACAGTTTGGTATTCCACGCAAAAGGCTAAAGCAGTCTTGAGTCTTCCATGGACAGTAGGAAAATTGATTGCCTTTACTCCCCAGGTCCAGAAGGATTCCAATACAAACCATAAGCAACAGTTGTTTCTGTCTCTTGTCCACAGAACAGAAGCTAGAAAAGCATATTGCTTGCTTCCAGGTGGATAAATTTATGGTTTATACTTCAGCTTTAAATCAGACTGATTAATTCACTTTAAGGCCTTAAATTATCTTCAGTGACTTCTCTTGTTCGTATAGTAGTTTAATTTTTTTATTGTGCCTTGCCAGTTTGCCAAGGCTATGCAGGATTGCACTAGCTCCACAATGCAGTAATATTGATAACTGAAGATACTGAGTTTAAAAAGGATCTTCCATTATTTTAGAAACAAAGGAATTTCATAGGTTGTGTTCTATGCAGTCTCCAAGTTTAAAACTAGGTTCTCCTGGATTTGGAGATTGCCAGAGTTGGCTCTAGTCTCAGTTCTGTTGACATTAAAGAGCCTGTTACTGTTGAGGTAAGGGATGGCCATACACTGCTCTGATTAATTTATTTCATTTTGTGGGGCAGATAAGCAACCAGTTGGCCTAATCTTTTCATAAAATTTTTGGGGTTTATATTAACTGCTCAAGAAACTGAGTTTATGTTCATTTTTAATGATTGAGAAATGATTTGAAGATTTCAGTAAAAGCATGGTTTTTGCTAAAGTTTTAAATTTATAATGACTTACATTTGAAAGAATAATTCAGTAAATGTTAAAGTCAGGATGACCAAATGTACATTTCATGAGTGGGCCAATTAGGAAAGATACATATATATGTATGTATATATACATACATATATATATGTATATATGCACTTTTAATGTGTAATTTTTCTATGATGAATGGTACATATATATTTTCTTCCTTTTGAGGGGATTAATAAGGTATAATTATGTTTTAGCATTTAAAAAAGTTTATATGACACATGGAGCCAACTTGGGTGTTTGTGATAAAGATAAAAATATGCTTGGTTATACATAAATTGATTTGGATTTCAAATAGTCATTATTGAATTTATTACTACTTCATCACACCTTGGAAAAGGCACCTAACAACAAATGAGCCCTATATAATCTTCTTCCTTTTAAACAATGGGTGATAATATTTGCCTGTGGGAGAAGCATGAGAAAGTAGAGAGCCCTCTGAAAGTGTACGGCCACACTAGGAAACTTTATTTACCCTTGTTCTCTGCTTGGTGGCTCAGTTAGTAACTGTAGATTGATGAAATTTTGCCTAATGTGAACAGGATAGGCAATATCAACTGTTTTTTATGAGCCAGTTCTTTATTATGAGTTTAGCTTTAAACACACAAATGTTTGGAGAGTATTAGTTGTTGTGAGATATGTTCTGATTCATTGTCCTACAGAAGCAGAAGTGGCCAGTATCAGATCCTATATGACTGAAACATGATAGTGTGCTTCCTAGGTAAAGACAGACCATGTTACTGGAAAAACAGGTGCATATGTGTGTATGTGTGCATATAAAGCTTTATTCCCCCGATGACAATTTTGTGTAATTTGTTTATTTAGTCTTAAAATTCAGGACAAAAAAAATTAAGTTTCTGGTTTTAAAATAGACTTTATTTTTACTATACCTTTATTGGATGTTAACTGAAGCAGTGCTAAAATACATACATTGCAAAAATCTGTCAAGTAAGCATAGTTCTCAAGAGCAAACAAGCAAAGATTGTATTTTTAAATATTTGAGATTGAATCTTTGTGTTGAATTAAAATGTAACAAATTATTTGTGATAGAAGAAAGTGGGCTTCACCTTGTGTAAGAGGATCATGACAAGGAAAAATTCCCTTAATTTCATCATGATGTGAAGCCTGTTACATTAGCATTATACAATTTTAAAATATGCACACACATGCACACAAGCTTATATACATACATTTATATATTTTTAATATAATAGTTCCCCATGGTCTTACTAAAACACAAAAGTTTCCACTGAGTTGTGAATACATTGTCACATGTCATAAAAACACTGGTCTGTATACCACACATTGTAATCTGATTCTCATGAATTTGGTCTACATTTCTAAACACAGTGAAGTCAGTAGTAATACCTGATTTTATTACATGTAGTGGTCATTGTTAATGTTTGTTAATAATCTTAAGGATTTTCTTATAAAGATTTTTGGTTTTAGTTTGTTTCTATATTTTTTACCCAAAATGTCAAACAGTGAGTGAGCTCTAAAAATATCAATGTTATCTGAAATGCCCACTTTTCTGATGATACAGTACCTACCATTATACAATCAGAATCATACAATGTTTATTTTTTGTGTATATTTTAGTAGTGGTTCTTGAGTCAGTGATATTCTTATCCCAGAGCATAATATTGTTTTCCCCACCTACTTCCTGCATTTTTAAACTATGTAAAACTTGATCCAAATAAGTATGAATTCTGTCTGATGCAATCTCTGCCTTTTAAGTTATCAGTTTGCTTCTGTTACCCTCCAGTCACCTAAAGAAAGCTCTCCTCAGAGCACAATGAGTGGTTTTAAATATTACAATTCAAAAAGGTAGCCATTGGAAAACTGTTCTTTAGCCTGAGATTTAGAAACACTGTTATTTGTGCCTTTTTCATTTGTTACTTTTAATGTGTTTTGATATTTGGAGCACAAATATGAAGGTGCCATAACATGGCTTGCTGATGTTACCTCCTTAAATATTTCTATGTCACTGTCTTCAAATAGTTATTGGAGAACCTTGAATGAAATGTGGTTATTTGTGTGAGGTATGTATGTGTTTGTATCTATATTCCCTTGGGCTGTGTGTAATATGTTTAAGACTGAACTTACGAAAATAGGAATTAGTTAAATATGCTGAAAGTTCAGATTAATTGATATATCTCATTTAAGTGTGCTTTATTTCAGAATACAATGAGTTGACAGAAGACAGTGTAATCCTCAAAAAATGTGACCAGCATTCTGCATGATAAAATAGGAAAACTGTGCTGTTTGGATTTCAAGTATAATTAAGTTTTACAATAATTGCTTTAAATGTCTTAAAAGTGTCATGAGCATTATTGTTTTATTTTTTAATTAGATCTAACTGAAAGTTTAAATTGTCAAAAATAATACTTTGCCCATTTATAATTTATTATATAAAATTTAAACTGAATTTTTTATATAAAGTTATAGATAAGGGCTTTGAGACAGTAGGTCAGTGATAGAGTATTTATCAACACTTGTGATTCCTAGGTTGGATTCATAGCACCACCAAAACACACCGAAAAATGGAGAAATGGAGAATCAAAGATAGTATTCATTGTTAGGAAAAAAAAAGCAAAGACTTCTCTAAGTTTTATGAAAATCCAACCAGCGAGATTTACCAAGAGCCAAATTCATGGAGATAAACTAACCTGGCTTGAACAGGCCTAGTCTTGGGTGGGTGGATGAATGAGTTGTTTCAGTGTTCTCAGAGAATAAATACAGCACTTTCAGCACACATGGGAGTATTTTGCAAACTTTTTATATAGAGATTGTGAGCTCCAGTTAAGTGTTCATGAAATGATGTAAATGTTAAGTCTAGCTGAACAAATACTGAGTGCCTCAAATGCAAGACTTCTTCACTAGGAATGAAATCACACTGTATCTTCTGTTGTTATATGTGAACTTTTATGTCTGGAAGGAATACTTATATTTAAATATTTTCCTGTTAGTAAAGCTTATTGTATACTATAATATAGTTAATTTTGCATTGCTTAAAAATGAAGTTGAGCCCATTTATGGAAATAAAGTTCTGCTAAAATTATTTAATTATTAGTTCTGAAGGAAGTTGACTTCAAGATTCCGATATATGAACATTTAACTTTTCAGCCTTTATTTAATCAATTGGTGTTTTGTGATGAGATACATACTATTTGTGTCTTGATGTTGGAAATAGATTTTGTGTTTCAGCACGTTGAGTTTAAATAAAATTGTTACTTCTTATTCAGAATTAATTTGATTGTTTGGATTTATTTGAGTCTTCTCAAGAAAGTGTGCTTTAGTATACCGCTTTAACAAATTTCACATACTATTTCTCTTCTACATAGGGAAGCTTGTATTTTTGATTGTTTAAATTTTTGCTGCTATTAAAAGGCAGGCATAAACAGCATATTTCTAAACCAGCTCACTAAGAATAACAAAGTGCTTATAGTTGTGGCCATGGTATCAGCTAGAAAGATACCATGGGAAACCTCCCACATACCCAACACTTGTGTAGGTATATGCACATACACAAAATTTTTATTAGGATTATAAGGTGATCATTTTCTGTGCAAGTGTAATCAAATAAGATGGAAAGGTTGGGAACCACACGCAAAACTGAATTTAAAAAAGCCTTTCACTCATCCACTGTTGCAGTCAGTCTGCTTGAGAATGTTGCGGTTAATGTTCTGTTATCTACTACCTCAGAGAAGTCCTAAAGGACCAAGAATAGCATTTGCTTTGTTCACATTTTTTTTAAAAAAATCATTTCATTTATTTTTGAGATTAGAGTGTTAATACATTTATACCTTCCCTTTAGTCACTGAAAAGTTGTTGTTTATCAAATAGTGTGTGTGTGTGTGTGTGTGTGTGTGTGTGTGTATATATATATATATAAAATTTTACATATCAGTCCTAGTTCTCTCTCCCTGCCATGCCCCCTGACACCCCCTCCCATCATACCTTCCCCCCCCCCCCCCCCCGCACTCCACAGGGAGTGAAGCCTCCCAGAAGGGATCATCAAAATCTGTCATTTGGAGTAGTGTCTAGGCCCTCCCTCCTGCCCTAGGACAAGGGAGTATCCCTCCATGGGAATGTGCTCCCAAAGTCCTTTCATGCACCAGGTATACATCCTGGTTCCACTGTCAAATGTTCCTTAGACTGTCCAGGCCTTCTAACTGAGACGCACATTTAGGGGGCCTGAGTCCGTCCAATGCTGGTTTCCCAGCTATCAGTCTGGGAGTCTATTAACTCCCCTTTGTTCAGACCAGCTGTCTCTGTAGTTTTCTGTACGTTATTTTATTATCACTCATGCCTCTCTGCAACTGGATTCCAGGAGTTTGGCTCAGTGTTTAACTGTGGGTGTCTGCTTCTGTTTCCATTAGCCACTAGAAGAGGGCTCTATGATGGTAGTAGATAAGTTAGTCATCAGTGTCATTATCAGGGAGGAGCATTTAAGGTAGCCTTCTACTGTTGCTCAGATTGTTAGTTGGGATCATCCTTGTAGGTCTCTGGACATTTCTCTAGAGTCAGTTTTCTCTTCAAACCTATAGTGGCTGCCTCTTTTATGGTCTCTCTCTCTCTCTCTCTCTCTTTTTTTTTTTTTTTTTTTTTTTTTTTTTGCTCTTGCCTATTCATCCCCCAACTCAATTTTCTTAGTCCCACAGGTTCTCCTCTCCTTCCCTTCTCCCTCCTAACTCCCTCTCCACTCCCTGCCCACCCACCCACTCCCAATACGATCAAGCGATCTTGTTCCTTTCCCCTTCTTTGAGGGACCTTGTATAAATCTCTTAGGTTCCTCCTTGTATCTTAGTTTCTCTAAAGGTATGAATTATAGACTGGTGATCCTTTGATCTATGTCTGAATTCCATATATGAGTGAGTACATACCATGTTCTTGTTTTTGTGAATGGTTACCTCACTCAGGGTGGTTTCTTCAAGTTCCATCCATTTACCTGCGAATTTCAAGATTCAATTGTTTCTTTCCACTGAGTAGTATTCCATTGTATAAATGTGCCACATCTTTATCCATTCTTCAGTTGAGGGGCAACTAGGTTCTTCCAGGTCCTTGCTATTACAATTAATGCTGCTATGAACATAGTTGAACAGATATCCTTGTTGCATGGATGTGGATCATTAGGGTATATGCCTAAGAGTGGGTACATCCCAGGTCCTGTAGCAGACTGGTTCCCATTTTCCTGAGGAACTGCCATACTGATCTCCAAAATGGCTGTACATGTTTACACTCCCACCAGCGGTGGAGGAGTGTTCCCCTTTCTCCATATCCTCTCCAGCATAAGCTGTCATTGGTGTTTCTAATTTTAGCCATTCTAACAGGAGTAAGTTGGTATTGCAGAGTTGTTTTGATTTGCATTTCTCTGATGGCTAAGAATGTTGAGCACTTTCTTAACTGTCTTTCAGACTTTTTAGACTGGGCTATTGAGAATTCTTTTTAGTTCTGTACCCCACTTTTTAATAGGGTTATTTGGTATTTTGTTGACTAGTTTCTTGAGTTCTTTGTATAACAGCCCTCTGTCATATGTGGAGTTGGTGAAGATCTTTTCCCACTCTGTGGGCTGCCATTTGGTCTTGTCAACTGTGTCCTTTGCAGTACAGAAACTTCTTAGTTTGAGGAGGTCCCATTTATTAAATGTTGATCTCAGTGTCTGTGCCCCTGGAGTTATGTTCAGGAAGCTGTCTCATATACCAATTTGTTCAAGGGTACCTCCTACTTTCTCTTCTGAGAGGTTCTATGTATCTGGATTTATGTTGAGGTCTTTGATCCATTTGGACTTAAGTTTTGTACATGGCAATAGATGTGGGTCTATCTGCAGTCATTTACACACCATCATCCAGTTGTGCCAGCACCATTTGTTGAAGATGCTTTCCTCCTTCCATTGTATACTTTTAGCTGTTTTGTTAAAAAACCGGGTGTTTATAGGTGTGTGTGTTAATACCAAGATTTTCAATTTGATTACATTGGTCTACCTGTCTTTAAGTCAATACCAAGCTGTTTTCAGGACTATAGCTGTATAGTAGCTGCTGTTTTTCAGCTCTTGCCTAAGCAGTCTTGTTGGTGAGATTTGATAGGTCTCACTTCTGATATTTCTAGAAGATAGAATCTGATAGCAATCTCCTTGATCCTCTGGCTCAACAATTTTCCACTTCCTTCTTGAACCATGAATCCTGAGCCTTAGGTGCTCTCGTGTTCTAGTTATATCTCTTGGTACTTGGATCTACAACTGCATTTTGATTGGTTTTTGTTCATTTGAAGTCTCTGGCTCACACTTGCATTTTCCTGGAAGCCCCATTTCTGCCTCTTTCTCCAAACCTGACCAGCTTAGAGAGTCTTTGGACATTGGAAAGATACCAGAAACCCAGTTTCACATTCTTGGTAGCTATTGAAGATCCATCCCCTGTTTGGGTCATTCACCCAAGTCCCTGCCTGAGCACTTAACCTTTTGACCTTACTTTGACAAAACCCAGCTTGAGGTGGATATGTCATCACCCCTCACAATCTACAAAAGTCTCCATTCCTTGGCTGCTGTGCATAACTTCTCTGGCCTCATTCCCTGAATCCAGTGAATATTCCCACTCTCCTCCCACCCCACCCCCCTGGTGTTTTCTCTCTCTGTGTGTGTGTGTGTGTGTGTGTGTGTGTGTGTGTGTGTGTGTGTGTGTGCATTTAGTTCTGTTTGATCTGGCTTACTGTGCAGAGAAACTTATTGGAGACAAAAAAACCTATTAGTTGTGGCTTAACAGTTTCCAAGTCTGTTTCAAAGATAACTTTCCTTGATGAGGGGGTGAAGATTACACTTATTTGTAGGTATAAGTAAGTAGTTAGGATTTATGCTGGTTTTATAAAGTGATGGCTGTATGTTCTCCTTCAATATACATCTCATTAACCCTGAGCAGTTAAGTTTTCAATACCAGGCATTATTTCCCTCTTGTTGAGGTGGTCCTAAGTCCATTTAGAGAGTTGTTGATTACTGACCAGTTATGTGTGCCATTACTGCAATTTTAAGTTTTTTTTTTTATGCCATGCTGGTCATTTTCCTAGGCAAAATGGCTGGGTAGGACTGTTGTTTCCCTCTTTTCACAACTTTCTTATTCTTTCTAATATTATGAAAACTAGTCCCCAGGAAGAAGCCACTTATTTAGGTCAGTTTCAGCTCAGGTTCTTCTGGGCCCTTTGTCTAGGGGAAATTATGTTATAACAATAGAGACTTACTTTCCAACCCTGGGGGGATAACCAAGGGCAATAGCAATGGCATTTACAGTGTATGTAATATAGCAGTAGTTCTCAACATGTGGATCACAACCTCTTTGAGGATTGAATAATCCTTTCCATAGATCAGCTAAGATCATCAGAAAATGGATATTTCCTTCATGACTTATAACAGTAGCAAATTATTATATTATGAAGCAGCAAAGAAAATAAAATTATAGTTGGGGTCACCACAACATGTGGAACTGTATTAAAGGGTTGTAGCATTTAGAGAATTGAAAACTACTGTATTACAGTGTTTTGGGAGTGTCTTGGGACTTCTCATGCTAGGTATTAAAATTTTTTCAAAGAGGGTCTTTGAATCTTGGAGAGAGAATTGTCAGCCCAGATAAGAAACTTTCATTTAAACCATATTTATGTTTATATATAGTTATGTGTATTTTTATTCTTCATTATTTTTTTCAGATATCTTTGCTGTATTACCTTTCTCCCTCATCCTATATTTATCTCCCTCACCTTCCCCAGTCAGAGTCCCCCCCCCCAACTCTGCCCCATTTCCTTATCAGATAACTTGTACCATGCTACTGTTTCTGTTGCTCCCCTACCACAGCACTGGTCTCTTTTTAACTTTCGTGGTTTCTACAGTTACTCCAAGGTGTATACTCACATTTGGATAAAAGAACATATATCTTTCCTCTTTCTGGGTCTCCCCTACCTCATTCAGTATGATCTGTTCTGGAACAATCCAATTACATGCACATTGCATGAACTAGTTTTCCTTATACCTGAGTAATATTCCAGAATATATATGTGCCACATTTTCATTGTGCATTTGGGTTGAAGATCATTTAGGTTGTTTTCATTTCCTAGGTATTATGACTAGACCAGCAGTGAAGTTGGCTGAGCTAGTGTTTATAGAATATTGGGGCTTATGACAAGGAATGGAATAGCTGTGTCATATGGTACATTTACTTTTAACTTTTTGAGAATTTTCTACACAGATTTCCAGAGTGTCTACACCTG